CTGGGGCGGCGGCCGAGCCCGCCGAGTTCATCCGGCGCGCGCACGAGTTCAAGAGCCAAGGGGCGCAGTGCTACAAGGACAAGAAATTCCGCGAAGCCATCGGCAAATATCACCGGGCGTTGCTGGAGCTGAAGGGGCTGCTGCCCGTCCCCGGGGAACAGGAGCGGGACTCGCGCGCGGCCTCCCGGGCCGGGGCCCCCAACCCCGGCCGCCTCTCGGAGGAGCAGAGCAAGACCGTGGAAGCCATCGAGATCGACTGCTACAACAGCCTGGCAGGTGAGCTGCGCCGCGCCGCGCCGCGCGCCACCCGGCCCCTCCTCTCCCGGCCTTCCCCGCCTCCCGCCGGGCGCGGGCCCCCATTCCCCGGCCTCCCAGTGGAAGCTGACCACTGCGGCGCGCCCGCGATGCGTACTCCCCGCTGGGACCGTGCTGCTCTGGGAAGGAGAACCTGACAAGGGGGCGCTTTGGAGAAAGTGTGACTTTTTAGCGTTATACCTTCCCAAACTCGTTGCGTCCCTTCCCCCGCATCCATGGTAAATCTCGCCTATAAATAACTGGACAGACAGAAGGGGACCCAGCTGGCCTGGCGGCGACTGCTGCTACTATCGCTCCCCAGAGGACCTGAGTCCAATGCGGGAAGCATCGCCAAGGTGGGCCACCCGCGCCCACTGCAAGCCAGGCGACTGCTCTCCGCAGGTATCTTGGGCGCCAGAGCTGACCCCTCACCTTTCCTCCAAATGACCCTATGGGTAAGGTCTTTCCCCAAGTTCACCTGGCCCCAGTAGCAAAGCGCAGTTTGCCACGATGCCTTCAGCATCTTAAGCAAAATGGATTCCAAAATGCCACTTTCTTCTCTCTCAGCTCTGCTGGGGCCCGGTTGCCAGGTAAAGAGAGTGATCTCAAAGGGAGCCTAGTTCATGGTTGGGCTAGGGCTGTGCTACACATTCTTGCTTTCCTCACTGCCTCATTCTCAGGCATATATCATTGATCTTCACACCAGCTACCTGCTAGGTGTGAGGAAAAAGGAGTCCTTCTACTGGGATGAGAAGGTGAGGTATACATTCCAGAGTTCACTTGGGATTGAGGGCAAAATTAGACATTTCTACAAATTTAACTTTGACACAGGAAAATTTAACATCTCTAAGAAAAGAAAAGCCTGGGTCTTTCCAGGGCCAGTCCTGTGAGAAGGTGGGAGATGTTGACAGAGGCAATGACCTTATGCATTAAAAAGCATTCTCTCCTCTTCCCCCAGCCCATTTGCTGGAGTTTGGGCTTGGTCCAGCTCCTCTTACCAAACAGAAGTCCATTACTCCTCATCCCTAACCCTTGAAGTTGCCTGAACTAGTTATGGACAGTTGGAACTGAGCAGGGTTGGGAGAGTGACTGGGTGTGGCTGGGGATGTGCCTGGGGTCTAAGCAGTTGGGAGATGAAAAACATGTATCAATAATTCTGCTCTGTTCCAAAGTGCAGATCTGTTCTGTTCCCTTTGTGGTTTCTAATGCCAGCCTACCTCTGCCTTCCCGTAATGCCATGTCCAGTATCATCTTTCATCAGGCAAAACCCAGGCACTTTAAGAATTGTAGTTTACAAACTTAATTAATAGTAATATTAGTAGCAGTTATAGAAATGATGGTGCTGATAGCAGTACTAGCAAAAACGGCAGCAGGTAAAGTACTAATACAGCAAAGATGAACTATTTCGATCCCTCACAAAGTACAGTTTGATTCTCTTTATTTCCTGTAAGTCTCTGGCATACTTGTTACTGCCTGATGAATAGTTAAAGGGCAGAGTGGCTGTGAGTGGAGGAAGAGGCATTCTGGATCACTAATGCAGTGATTTCAGAGTGGTAATGGAGTCTTATGTATGGTATTATCCATGGGCATTCTAGGGTTGCCCCGCACCCCATGCTTTTGGCTACCGGCCTGTGGCTAGCATTGCCTATCTTCTACCTCAGAAGTGGTTACATTTCCATGGTGAAACCAAAGATGTGTCCTTGTTCAGGCCAGCCCAGTCAGGGTGGGGCAAAGAACAGGGCAGCTTCTCCACTTCTGCCCCAAACCCCTACCCTCCACCCCGCCACACACACACACACACACACACACACACACACACACTCTTTGGAAAACTTAAATGGTGAGAGAAGCAGATTTCTCCCTCTGCTGCCTTCTCTAGTGTTCACCACTAATATTAATAATTTATCGTGTGCACTGTTAGGCCATCTACATGCATTGTCCGTTTTAATCTTTAAAATAACTCGATAAAATAAACATGATCATCACTTTTGCAGAGAAAAACACCCAAGTTTCTAAGCCATTCAACTCCAAAATCAGTGTCCTTGTCATCACACCTTGATGCACAAAGTCAGCATCCTCTAGGCCTCTGTCTCCCTGGAGTCCTGTCTTAGGTAGGCTCCAGAGCCTTCCACTTGGAAATTCTGTTGGGAGCTCTCAGCCCTGGTAACCAAGAGGAAGCAATACAGTTTCTTGATTCAAAGCTCTAATAGGGCTATTTCTAAATATTGTCAAGTTTCACATTTAAAAAAGAAAAGAAGAGTAATTATAGGATGAGCGGTCTTGTCAAAGCCAAAATCTGTATCCTCTATAGAAAATTCGATTGAAAGAAAGGATCTACACAGAAGTCACCTGGAAAAGAAGTAGAAGCCTGATGTTGGTTTCCTTTTGGACAATGCAAAAAATGCTAGCAAATAGAAAAGTGTCCTTTCTTGTTGGATTATAAAAGCAATATATACCTATAAAATGTACTTTCTTTTAGAAAATACCAGTAAGTTTAAAGAAGAAAATAGAAAATTACCTTTAACCCCACCACCTAAAGAAATCCAGTGTAATGATATATTTCCTTCCTGCTTTTTTTTTCTATACATAAATGTTAACTGTTTACAAAAGTCAAAGACCTCCGGTATCCTGCTTTTATTTCTACTTACCATTATGTCAGAAGCATTTTACATTTTATTAAGAATTTTTGTGATGATTGTTTTAAATGGCAACATAAAAATTTTAAATGTGTGTTTACAATTATCATTTGATGGAACAGGAAGGAAAGATGATCACCTATTTTGTTAGAGCCAGAACAGTGCAAGGTGGCCCGTAAGATATCCTTTCCCTCTTGTGCCTGCCAAAAGGAAGGAGACAGCAACTGCAAGTTCATTCTGGCAAAAAGGCAACCGACCCTTCCATCGGGGCTGCAGTGCCAGCTGAGCAGCCAGCCCAGCAGCAGGCTCCAGGCAAAAGCAGTCTGTAAATTGTTCTCTCAAGGATCTGTCCTCCTTTACATAGCTGTACATAAAGGGGGAGGTTTGGGCATTAAAAGGAATTTGGACTAGCCCAGAAGTATCTGGAGGAATAGGCTGTGTTGCTAAGGGCATCTCAGCACCAAACAAAAGGTGGTTGTGAGGCTTCTGGAAGAAACCCAGATTCAGTGGACCCTTGTACTCTTCATGGAAGGCTGTAAGAGAATAGCAAGGGGGCAGCTAGAACGTGCTGAGAGATGTTTGTTTGAAAATCCATTTGGATGACTTGAGGAGACTACATGAAGGATGAGCAGACAATTTGCAAAGTACTCATGGTTGTGGTCTATTCGGTCTTGGTTTCTTCTGATTAATAGGGATCTGGCCAGTGGCACAAGACGCCTGAACTTGATTTTGCAAATCTTATTCTCTGAGAAATTTAAGGAAAAAGATGGAATGATCCTGTTCCTTCAGAATTTCTAATGACTTTGATACGATGATTAGAAAAGATATTCTGACTTGCCTGGGGAGAGCCTTTCCAAAGATGCCAAGGAAGCATGTATTGGCCTGTGGAGCAACCCCTGTTGACCTTGAACAAGACATACGACTCCCCTGGGGCCTTGGAATGTTCTGTGCAGAACCTCTTAAAGGGCAGAGCCTTTTGCTCAACATCTGTTCCCGTGGGGCCATGGTGCCCCCAGCTGGGGTGTGATCAAAAGGTTATTACACATAATGACTTTGTTGGTATTTTTAAATGACTTTTGAGACTCAAATGCTAGTAGTGGTGGTGGGTACAGACAGGTCATGGCATTGTATCTAAAGACTGGATGAGAGTCGGTTTATGCCTCTATCCCTGGCACACCCTATGACTTTGGATAACCACGTCATCATTTTACCTCCATTTCCCCATCCAGTTAGAGCTATGTTTGGGAGCTTTTTTGTTTGTTTGTTTGTTTTACCAAAAGGGCAGATAATAGCTGTTGGTCTCAGTTGAAGCCCAGGACAGCAGTGTGACAAGGCCCAGAGAAGTCACACTGGGAGAAGGCCTGGGTCAGGAATGAGTTTTATCAGCGCTTGTAGACATGTCCGGAAGCCATGGGACCAGGGCCAGCTACATAATTTGTGGGGCCCAGTACACAATGAAACTGTGGGGCTCTTTGTTCAAAAAGCAGAGGCAAATTGTTGTCAAAGGTCTTAAAAGTTAAAGCTTTTTTTTTTTCTTTCATGGTCTCTTCTCTCTTGACTTTACATGGTGTTTTTATTTGCTATTTAATGTCATTACAGGAAAATTAAAATTTTAAATTATTGGCATGACAATGTTCATCTTTATATTATGCAATGCCACTTTTAAATGGAAATATAAGAGCACTTGTATATGGAATCATATAAATTACACAGTTCACATTTTGGAGTTGATACATGCATATGTAGTTTATTCTTACCAGAACAGTGGAAATGCTAACAAAACAAATTCAACTGTTTTTATTTTATTTCTTTATATGCATACTTTATATACACACTTTCTATCAAGTTTGGCTTTCTGAAGAGTAAGGAAAGGAAAAGGAATTATAGATTATCCTAGTCTTTCTTTTTATGTCATTATTTTCAGCCTCAGTGGTTGGCTACTATAGGGAAGTAACTTGTAGAAAAGGATAAGATGGAGTTCCTAGGTCATTTGTGTTTCTTCAAACACTATTGCTTTCTTTCTGCATTTGAAGCAATTTCTGGATTGAATGGAAAGCATAGCCTCTTGGGGCTGTTAGTATGTCTGCTTATCTACAGACCTAATGCTCTTGCCTTGTACTCAAGTTGAGTCTTGCTAAACTCCCATGCATTGTGGATCCACTGGAATTCTGTGCTATATGCAGGCAGGACTGCAAAGAATGGTGTGCCTATCTCTTCTGCTTATGTTCATGCTCCATTGTCCCATAGGGCTTCACTTACAAAACAGTTTCGAAGATAAAATTAAGAATTTCAAGAAGGCAACAGCTGAGCATTAAGCCAAATACAGAACCCTTCTGTGCATGGTCT